GGGGGGGTAGAGAGGGCTGCTGTTAGTGGAACTAAAAAATCCAACAACACTGACCCAACACAAAATGCATCTCAAGTCTTCAACTCCACAATAAGAGACAACACAGGTGTTACACACACATCACACATACAGAGGCTGTTAACAGTGTAGTGACCTTTAAACCCTCAAAAACAAGGAAAGACATAAACTATGCCACAGCAAGTGTCACGTGAGGACAGTTTATGTTCCATGATCTGCGAGAGAGATCTTTTTTTGCACGAAAGGTGCCTATGGACGAGGACTAGAAATGCTTTGCTGTGTGAACAAAAAAAACATACATCAATCCACAGTCAGGTTTGCTGCCCCCTTTAGGTAACACGATACCTGTGACAAGTCAGGTTACTGTTTTAAAAGCTGTCCTCAGCGATGTGGTCTTCACATTGTCAATACAGGGTTTCACGTTACATGAAAAGGGTGAGCAAACTCCGTAGCGTGCTCGTACTCGTCTGTGGTCATCCAGGACAACAAAAGAAGCCATACAATACAAGGACTGAATGCTAAGCTCTTCATAACACAATTTGCCTGTGTCATCACTGCTCCCACTACTATGTGAATACATTGTGACATTGTCAGGTGAGAAAAGCAAATGACATTTTCATGCCACTATAAATTAAGGTTTAAGATAGGTAATGTCATCAAACTTGTGGGTGACATTATCATCATGAAGGGTGACCCAGTCTCCCTTTATCTCCTTTTACAACCCCTCCCGTCATCATACAGCCAAACTCCTTGTCAGCCTCATGCAAAAAAAATCACATTCAACGGTGCTGTGGTCATATAGCCAGGTGACCATTCGTATGTCTTGTATGCAGCACAAGGATAAAGTGACAGATAAGCACAGCCACTGAGGTGGACAAAAGCATTCAGAATGGGATTGAATAGGACTACTCCCTAACAGATGGACGTAGCAGTGATACCTTATAAATCTAGCAGGGGGAGAAGGGGAGGTGGGGAGGGAGAGTAGGACGACATGAAAGGGTGGAATAGGAAAGGAAAGGCGGGGGGGGGCGGACTGCTCCAAGCTTCTACTCTTTCAGAGCTTCTGGTCAGACATCCCAACACGACACTGGAAGGCAACAGAGATGTCAGGGACATTAGACAGTAAAGCGGAAGATAACCAGATGGAGGCAGAGTAGCACAGGTAGGAGAAGAGGTACGGGCAAAAGGGTTAGGCTCCATTAAAGAAAAACCTGAATAAGAATCCCGGGATGAACGGAGAACCAGAACTAAGAGATGGTGCGGTCAGGTCTACCCTTGGAGCTGGCTTTCTCACCTTGAGCACCTGCTCTAGGTTCTCCAGTTTGCCTTGGAGCTGGTTCCTCTCCCACAGGGCTAAATCTCTCTCCTGCGTCACAGAACCAAGGGTCTCTTTGAGCTGGGCATACTCAGACTTCACCTGTGCAGACAGAACAAGCAAGGAGCAGAGACACTGAGTTTGAGAGTGTAGCTGTACCGTTTACGCTGATTTTAGCCTTTTAAGGAATACTCGCAGGTTCATGCTTTTCTTTGTAGATATAGGAGAGGTCTTTCTCCTGTTCCATTCCTGGTTATCCCGTTTTCTTTTACAAAACTAACATTTAATAGATTTGAATCTGGAAATGGGCAGATATTGGATTCGCATTTCAACAGTGAATAGAATGCAGAAATCGATGGACAATGTTTGCATTTACTCCTCTCCATTCTTGGAAACACCAACATTTATAAATCCTGAACAGGCTTTTACTGCATGGACTATTTAAAAAAGGTACCCTGTGGAGTTTTCTTCTAAATAATTTTTGTTTCAAGTCTGAATGTAAACACTGTGTACATCCTTTAGGATAACACCTTTTTGCATGACTCTCTTTCCACATAAAACCTTTGCACCTGAACCCGCCATGTTTACATCCATTCATTAAATCAGCATAGGAGTGTGAAACCATGAGCAGGAATCTGTACTTCTTCTCCCATGTACTCAAAATAGGGGTCTGATTGTCAAACATTGTAACTAGTGGTGATAAATGGCACAGGGTACCTTTAAAGGTGTCTTAAAAAAAAACGTTGACCATTACCTAAACATACCATGTTGGCAATGACAAACCCATATCAACAGCTTGACATCACACGTCATTGCAGACTATAATAAGTGTATTCACAACAGGGTGGTGGTAGGCAAAAGCCAATGTAGCAAGTGCTGATTAACACTAAGGAACTAAAGATAGAGGGGTGTTACAGAGTCATCCTTTCGAATAATTAAATACTAATTATATTGTGGTTTATATAACACCATAAGGCAACAAGCAGGTTTTTTATATTATTAAATAGCTGTAAAAACATATAGGTAGATTGAGACTCAACAACAAGCACTAGCGCAGTGGCTCATTAACAGTTTGCCAATTTGTCTTACACCCTTCAGGATAATCCAATTCAAAAACACAACTGCTCCGAACTGAATAGAAAATCAGAACCAGGGCTGTTTCATAAAATATGAACAAAAACTGAATACAATACGCTACCAAGACGAACTGTTGGAATGAATTCGATTGAACCGCTGTTCCTATTTTCGTGGTCGTCACTTTTGATTTGAAGCACTTTGCTGTAAAGAACAATTTGCTTTCATGCCACTAAAGCATTCATAGCATTTAAAACAGACAGAAACTGTTGTAACCTGACGTGGGGAATGTCTGGTTTCGGTGATAAAAGCCTTTAAATATTATAATAATGCAACAGTAACACCATTCACTGACTCCCACGGCTGTAGACCAAAACATTCATAAATTATTCAATCTTTATTGTTAACCAAGCACCAAGCATTCAATTGACTGAAACAATTGCACATTAAATTAAAAATATATAGCACTTCAACACGTATGAGGTCTGCGCTGCCATTATGAACAATATACAAAATGTGACTCTTTCTATGTCTACATATTCTCTATAATCTATCTCCCACACAGTTGTATTGTTACTTAAGAGGCAGGATTTTTCAATCAGCTTTTTAAAGGCCCCTAATCGTCAGCAAGATGACTGGTTCCTGCAGCTGTAATGTGGCAAAGCCGCTTCCACAGAGCAGCCATGAATGACTAATGATTCCTTGAGGAAGGAGTTTCAACAAACACCAGCAAAGCAAAACACAAACAGAAAGCAGTGAGTCTGCCTCTGAAGAGCCCGCCTCCTCACAGCAAAAACTATCCGCATGGATAGGAGCGCCTGTCAGAACTAATGTAGACGGATCGAACGACACTGTATTGGATTCAGCAGAAACAGGTCAATAGTCTATTATGGATAGAGGGCGGTGCCGCTTGTAGCCCCTCCCACTTCATTCAGAGACGATAGGGATCAGAACAGGGGGATGTAAGTGAGGGTTAGTATCCGCACCGCCCTGCAGAAAGCGGCTCTCATATCCGTCAGTGTGATAACATTTCAGGCTAGCTGCTCCAGGAGCCGCCCTGGTCCTGATAACACGTCAATACACCAGCATCCCACCCTTCTTCACCGCAACAGCAACTACCTGCCAATCAGCTCCGTTAGGAAAATTGCCTTCCTGTCCATAGAGGGAGGCGTGGTGCTCTTTGTTTGTTGATCTGCTCTCACTTTGTGTTATCAGCTCTGAAGGCTTTTGAGGTCCGGGGGCTAAGTGGAAGGTGAAGGTGTTTTAATAGAATAGGAGGCTTGTTGCTTTCATTTACATGCTTAGAATTGGAAATATGGCTCAATCTATGTAGAATCCTAAGGCGGTTTTGGCTTACAGTGTGACCCAGAAAGCATCAGACATCATCTGATAGAGTCTTAACTTAAATACCCCAGAGGTCGTGGCCTATGAAGGATTGATACCGAGTGCAGTCATGGCAGCAGCTCTGTGGGGCTTGTGCGCAAAACTGAGAGCATGCTAAACATGGTGATGTTTTTCTATGTAAAATGTGTACCCCCTTTGTTTAGCGTCTTAGCATGCTATTGCTAATTAGCACCAAACACAAATTGCAGCTAGGGCTGATAGGAGTGTCATTCGTTTCGCAAGTATTTATGAAAAAGAAGTCAACTTTGACCCAATAGTGGCGCTATATGAAATGAATTAAGGGATAAACAAAACTGCCGCATTTAATCTTCAATGCAATATGAATGCCTTTACCACAATGGTTGGCATCTGTCTAATAGCTGTCACTACAGTACATGTCGCTCAAAATCTCTTTGCTGTGCTTAAGGAGTATTTAGAAATCATTAGTATCCTCCCCTGGGAACCATGAATGTCTGTACCAAAACAAATAGGGCATGTGCTGAACTGAAGGTGAGCTGAACATGAAAAACAAATAAATAGCTCATACACTGCAAAGCTCTGATGTTCTCACACACTCACTCACACACACACACACACACACACACACACACACACACAAACACAAACACACACACACACAGAGACACACACAACAGACGCAAACAAACAAACACACATTCTGCATGTGCATTGTGATGGGATAATGATACCTACTCTAGGTGCAATTAAAGCTAAAGTCCTGAAGTCTGAATGATTTTGTTTTGTTTTACAAACATACACAAAAACGCATTCAATAGTTTTTTATGTACAGTAGTAGGTATATAGGCAGATATATTTCACTAACGTAAAAACAATCGTCCTCTATCGAGCCATACTGCCAGGATAGTGAAACATGTTTTCCGTCAGATCAAAGGACCTATATATGCTAAAAATCATTATGAGTGTAACTGGAGACGCTCCAAGATGTACATCGTCAAACATTTCAAAACCGAGACCTTTTCATCTCTTACCTTCTCATACTCAGATGTCTTGTTGCTACTGTTGAACAAATGGAGGTTCAAGTGTTTGTTCTCATGGAGGAAATCTTGAAGCTCATTCTCCTAGACAAAAGAGGCATAAAGAAAACAAACAGTGTTTAGAAACCAAGAAGTCCCCATTAGATTGGACCAGAGCGCAGCACTCAGACCCAGCATGATGTTAGCAATAGCCCATGCATAATGTATCTTAGGAGACTGCTCAATGTTCTCTATGTTGTAGAAGCTGCCATTTAAGCCACAGTGAAACGATAATAAGTGTTAAAAATGTAATACAACTTGATTGTATCTTGATGTATTTAACATGCTGGAATAGTTGCAACAGGAAACCATGAAAAGGTTTGTCTTGAAGCTCTTAGTTAGTGGATGAAAACCAAAGAGCTTCCTTTCACCACACTGAGGGTAAAAATAAAATCCCTTCATTGCAGAGGAGTAAAACTGAATTACATTCAATCAACAGTCGTGAGGCATACTGTGGATGCAATTTGCAATGTCAACTGGAGAGTTCTCTGAGATGTGCAATCCACTGCAGCTCCAGCAGCATGTAGGCCAAGTGTTGTTCTTGTCAGGAGCTAAGAAACCTACTGGCTCATGCATGATACATTTACTGTAAATACAGTGTTCCTAATGGCTAGTGATGGTGAGCCTGCTCCTTCCCCCTCATGTTTTAGTTATGAGGAATGTTTCAGAGTGAGAATGGATACAGCACAGAGTAAAGATTTAGAAAAGAAATGCATGCAAGGGAACACATGTTAACAGAAAATGTTGTGGTGATGTTTATAAAACATTTTAAAATGAGCATGTTTGCTAAATGCACACAAAACAATCAGGTGCTTGTCAGGGCTATAAGTATTTCTCACAGAATACATTAGTCACAGGGGTAAATCATACATGAAATGATGGGTGATTTACATTATCTGCTTCCTTTTTAAGATCCTGTCACTGGGACACTGGAGTATGACAGAGTCATGGTAAATGTCCTTTGCTTTTGCTACTATGATAAGTCCTAATTTCTGCTGTGAGAAAATATATTTTTGTTAGTAATAAACTCAGCTCTATATGTCGACTGATGATCACTATTACTATATATAAATAGTATAATAAGCGTGGAAAATCACATTCAACACAACACAAAATGCCAAGGTAGAGCCATGTCACTCTCAAGGTTTCTCTGTGGAAGAAAATACTCTACATCACTTTAAATGGTATAATTTAATGCCTTTCATTTTTGTATAGCACTTTGAATTGCCTTGTGTTGAAAGGGGCTCTATAAATAAACTTCTTTCCTTGCCTTTCCAAGAAGACTGGAACTAGCAACTGAGAGGTAAAATGGTCAGGAAAATGTTAACTGAAGGTAAAAAAAGAGAGAAGTAGGGTCAGCTATATTGAGCTCTATACTGAATTATAGGGTGTTATAACCAAACATTAGATAGTTATTTACAACATTCTGACAATACTTTATGGGAATGTATCACTACAAACAGAATTACAAATGAGTGTTGATCTCAATCAATATTATATAAGTTACTTATACATCCATTATACTGTACTATCAGGGCAGTTACAGATATTATATAACATACTGGCCTTTGCTCAAACAAAATGTGTAATCAAGAAATATTTAGTGGTTGAAAACAATTACAGAAATATGTTTTAAATAATGCATCATATCTAGCTATAATGAACATATCCATACAATTTAAAGCATTTATGCCACCACTCACTACTTCTAATACTAATATCAATAATAATGCTCAATTTGTATGTAGACATGAACTGCATGAGCACAAATTCAGTAATCACATATGCACGCCATAGAGGAGAGAACTGTCAAGGACAAGCAGAGATAAGTAAACAACAGCCTGGAGAAAGTACCACATGAGATCAGCTGCTTTTTCCATTCATTTCATTTCTGTCACGTCCCAAAAAAATTATTGGCATTTCAACCTGCATCAATTGCGTCCAGTCAATTTTAATGCTTCCAGTACAAGCACTAGATTGCATTGGCATTCCTATTCATATCCATCGATCCTTCAATTCGAAGCTAATGTGGGCTGGCTAAGCCTCCAGGTGTTCATTCTGAAGGACACACAGCAACAGAAAACAATCCAGAGAGCTAACATTACTCTGTAGGCACACTGAGAAGAGGACAGTGGACTGAAATACTTGTGAAATTAAAGCCTGTTGTTGATTGAAGCATTTAAATGATCCGCCAATTATCTCATATAAAACCTTTTTTTTGGAATTTGGGCGAGTCGGCACACATGTAGTAATGTAAAACCAAATTGTCTTGAACACAGAGAATCAGCTGTTTCTTTGTCCTGTACTGTCGACGTGTTAACGCTTTAAAGAGATCAGTGTACGTCATAATCCCTTGGCAGGACCCATTTTTATGGAGAGCCTGTGAGCCCAGCGAGGGAGAGAATCCCATGCAGAATAAATTGTGGCCTACATTGAGCTGCCTCCAACATTATTCAGCTGAGGTTTTCTGCTGAGGTGCGATTAACCATTTGAGACTTGCTTTGAATACTAACACAAATGTACAAAGAAAATGTACGCACCCTAGATTCAGTTTGATTAATGAGCTGTAATGCTTTAGAGACTGGGAAATAGTACAAAAAGAAAAAATTCCATTATATGAACAGAACGTGTAACTGATAAGAAACAGGACGTCATTGACCAACATACATTTGGGTTTAGTGGAGTTAAATATATGCAATCTGTAATAACCAATCAACAAAAAAAGGTAATAAAACACATGATTGTTTAGAGATAAACAGGAAAGTGTTATAGATGTTTTAGATGGATGGATATATAATACACCGTAATATGTATAGGCCTGGGGTGTGTCTGAGCAGTGCAGAGGCAGTTGTGTGTTTAGCCCAGACATGATCTGACTCAGCCTGTTGTGTTAGAGCTGTGTGTTTAATTTTGACAAGCCTGACAGATGAATCAACTCCGCCATTTAACACCGGAGCAAAGCAAACATTTCATCCACTTACCCCCTGCTCTGTAGACTCAGCGCAAGCAGCATCATTTGCTCTGGTGCAGCATAGACAACCGCCATGATCACAAGCGGTGGTAACATGGACAATATTTCTTTAACCAAATTGAAATATTTGTGTTTAGAAATTAACTGTTTACATGGAAGCTGAATTAAGTGATCCCATAACATTTGCCTTTCCATGTACCAAAGCATTTATCAGAATGTAACAATTTGCCTTGCACAATGTGAATCGGCCTACTGTAAAGTGCTTCATCTGCTGTAAATACATCAGAAGAAGAAGTGTTTTTTTTTTGTTTATTGGGACAATTCAATTCATTCATTGCTTATTGATGGAGTATAGAAGCATACGATGTGGATCTGCCTGTTAATAAATAGATTAATACAACTTTCAAGATGGACCCACATTGTGTCCTGGGAGCAATATTTGCTTTCTTGCAGTTCTTTCTAATTAAGCAGCAATCTCAGCAGCACACACTTCTCCTGCAGTCTTTAAACAGGGGAGAGTGCCCTGGACTCCACCGGCGCAGCTGGAGCCGGAGATGATCTTTATAATTATGCACAGGATTTTTGTCTAAAAACATAGCCACAAATCTTGAAAATTGTTGTCATTAGTCGGACTATATTAAGTATGGTAAGGCTACAGCACAGGAAACACACTTTTAACAGCAGCAAAAACATATAAAATGCATTGTTATAGCGATTGTATACTGTCTGTTTCTAAAATTGAATTTTGTGGGTCGAAAACCTTAAATTATACAATTGTGGAAATGTGAAGATGCCAAAAATGTGATTCAACTGTTTCCGGATGCACAGTCGAACTGTATTGACTCCCGCTGCATTGTGTAATGTAAAAGTACATACTGCATTTCCCTTACACTGGACTTGTGGTCCTCTGTATATCGTTTAAGCTTAAGTGCCCCTTAAGCACTGTCCTCCATGGTGTACACATCAATAAAACGACTCACAAACATCCAGTTCAAGGCCATTTCGAAGAGTTGCAGTATATTGACAGCGTGCAATCTGATTTAACCGCACTGTGCAAAAAGCAAAACTAAAAAAACATGTAGAAAAAAGGAGACATCTTGAAATTGATTTCTGACATTTGTGTTTTGCATGCCATGTGTCCAAGTACTAAGAGCTGCCAATCTCGCCTTTGACAGAAGGTGTTGTTGCTTACCACAGCTCCTCATGAAAGTTAAGCCGACAATGATGGAAAGCATTTCCACGGTTACCGATCTCAACTTGAGAGCACAGCTCCACAGTCCAGACTGAGGACCTGTTGAGTCTGCCTGCTGACTGCCTCAGTGGTAATCTTCGATTAGTACCGATACAAATTTGAGCTACGCTGGCATAGCAGATGCTTGTCACCATGGTAACAGGCATATAATGCTAGGAGAGCAAACTCCTCTGATGGTCTGTAAATGTAAACCAAACACACAGGAAGGTGGAAGTGCCAGAATGCAATGCCAGTGTTTACCGTCACTCACACACTCAGTGTACACTTGACGTATGAATTCTCAATGAGGAGACATTTAATTAATAGCTAGAAGTTTAAAAGCTTGGCGAGAAAATGACCTTATATATTCCTGAATATGTTTTCGTTGTTAACCTAATATACTATTAAAGTCCACCATCAGAGTTGTCGCTAACATCTGAACCTAATTCTGTACGTGCACGCTTAAGTATTACCTGAGAAGGAGAACAACTGAGGAGAGACTGAGAGACCCAAACAGCGAGTGACATTGCTGTCAACCCGCCATCCTCTCACAACAGTGTACGTTGGTCTAGTCTGTGTTTGCGTCTCTGTTCTGGAAGCTCAGTGCAGGAGGAGACAGAGCTGTGCTGCAGTCTGTGGAGACCAGCCTGCCATTTCTGCACACCATTTGGGGACACGTTGTCCTTTGGGAAGCTTACCCCGGACTCAGCAGGCTGACAATGGGCAAGGAGGGAAGTGCTGCTGTGGGCAGGGAACGTTAGAGGAGGGCAACTAAGAAAGAAAGTCCTAATGGAGTGTTTATTTAGGGCAGAGAGCCACACACAAAGACAGCTCATCTTAAGAAGAGGGCTTGGGGGCATGAGGGAATGAATTCAAATAGTCTAGGACCAAACAGTTCCATTTAAATGACTGTTGAATCTCTCCAGCTCCTGCCTTTCAGAGGAAAAACCTCACTCCAGGCCATCTACTATTTGCCTGCTTCTGCTCCTACAGGTTACACACACATGTACTTTATAGGCTGACTTCAACATTCACGAAGCAGCTTTTATAACAGTTACACAACTCCCTGTATTGTTTTTCTTTTTCTCCAAACTCCCAAACCACAGAGTGTAGGCTGACAAATGTCTACACTTACATATTCACTAAAACTGGAGTGAATTTAACTGAAATGTAACTCAGCATTTTGCTGCACAGCCCATTGGGAGCCCACTTTGAGAACAACTGCTGGAAAATCAAAGCAGTGAGATGTCACTTTCTCTCAGAATGAACTCTAACAATAGCTAGCTCTTCATTTCAATAGAACATGATTAGTTATTCTACTTAGTGGAGCTCCTGTTACTATAATTGTAAAACCCCTCAGACGAGAACCATCCTATAAACTTTATTTGTGCTGTGATATATAGCTCTGATATATTCTTGCTGTGAGGCACTGGTATAGCCGGAGAGATCCTTCTTATTTAAGGAAACCCACTACAATAACGACAACATAGCAAGGTAAAAGATTGCCACGGCTGGTTAACGGTAACTTTAGTGTTTAGTTAGCCTTTCTTTAACTGCAAATCCTCTTTAGCACCACATACAAATACAAGTTGAATACACACAGTTGTCTGCAACCTAGATAATTTCAGGCAATCCAAACTCTTCTGTACACAACGTCAACTGCCGGTCTTAAGCCCTTTACTCCAGTCTATCAGCTTCCTGTCTTCTGATTCTTCTTCATTGTCATAGTAGTGTATTACTATCATATATGGGACTTTATTGCATAAACAATACATGGAATCCACTTTATCAAATCATTACTCTACAGCAGAACTGGAGGTCAAAAACTCCACAAGGGGCCTATTGTAAAGCTTATTTCCCTTTTATATTGTGCACATATTTGTTAATATATTTGCTAAATCAACAAACTTGATATGACAACCAGTCAGTTGGCTGAATGATCTTAGCAATAGTCAAGTCAGTTCAAAAGTTTAGTAAGCCAATATGTCAAGATGAGAAGAGACATGCAAAAGAAGCCTGTCCTCTTATTTCAGCTGGTTCTCGCCACCTTTTTTTTTTTTTTCGTTCTCTTTGTCTTTAGTCCTCAGTGAAGGCCACTCTAGCCGACAGAATGACACTTCTGGGCCACTGTGAGAAAACGTCCTGCAAAGGGCATCAAACTCCATACAAAAAATACAAGACATGTGTTACATATCTCTGACCTTAAACAGCGGTGACCATTACTTGAAAACACACATGGTGATGATGTGTAATGTTGCAGCAGGGTTGTAAAGAGCGCAATGAGCTAATGGGTGCAAAAATGCAAGAAACAAATAGCCACAGCATGAGGATCATTGTATACATCGCATAGTGCTATACGCTGCCTCTCTTCTGTGTTTGTGTACTGAAACGCTCACTGCTAAAGTGTATCTCATGGTCAAATGCATTTTCCCATGCTAACAAAACCCAACCCACAGGTACTGCAACTCGCCGTTAACTGCTCCCATTTTTCAATTCCAGTCCTGGCCGCCTGAGAAACAAGCTATCATTACAGGACCCCGCCACTCATTTGCTATGGGGACGTTTGTTGTGTGATAATAGCGGGCAAAGCTCTCAGGTACAAATCAATTTTAGCCTCAGTCCTATTGCTCAGAGGCCAGCGTATATTTTTGGAGCACTTACCAAAGTCTGGCATGTTTGATTCTTTTTCTTCACCTCCGCCTCAAGTGCTTCACACTCCTTCCTTCTGGTGCCGATCTCAGTCTCCTGGGGAGGGAGAAAAAAGCAGAGGACAGCTACTGAGGTTTGTCAGGAACAGAAGCTTCCTAAGAGAACTCAGTGTGGAACTAGGGAGCAGGAACATTTCATTATTCAGCAGTGTTTAGGTGTGTGAGTGTATGTGTGTGCGTTCCTGCGTATATGTAGGTGTATGTGCAACAGAGACACAAAGAGATTATCTGGGATTATCCGATTGATCTGACAAAATGTTTTGCTGCCGGAAAAAAAAGTTGGAGGTTGGAATGATGATGATGCTGAGGATGCAAAATAGGGTGTACTCTAAGAATAATGTGATAAAAAGGATAACATACAAGTTCAAAGTTGTTGTAAATGAATAGGTTTCTGTTTTCTGTATTTTGGTTGATTAAAAACTTAGGAAATGTTTTCGTTTTTCCAGAAGACATCACTTATTTGTCACAGTAGAATAAGCACAGGTGTAACTAATAACCTTAACGATGGCTCTGTTAGATTTAAGGGTCCCAGTAGGCGGGCGTGCACACAGGCCCCTAATTAATGTCATTAATTACAGCTGTGCTTTTTCGGCACGTGTGCTAGGTATATCTTATTTCTTTTCATTTCAAATCTGTTCTTCCCTTGCACACCATCGCTAAATATGGCATGATCATGTTTTCCGCCTGTCTTCCTGAGGATTTTTTTTGAGAATATATATTTTTGTTTGTTTGAATAAATGAGTCTGGAACTGTTTGACAGACATTAACATTAATGACATGATCAAAATTCAACTTTTGCCAAATTCAGAGGTTATACAAATGTATTTCTTTGAAAAATGTATATTCTGTTTTCAAATAAATACAAATAAATAAACTGAAACTAAATGATTTATACATATTTGTACAGATCCTGTGGATTGCATTCTTTCAGTCTGTATTCATAAAAGGTTCAACAAGTATCGATCTAACTCCCAATATTCCCTCATGATGTTTTTAAATGCCTGACGTGTGTCCATAAAGCAGCCTTTTAACTGAGCTGACAGCTGAATTACAATAAAAAGAAGTTGAGTTTTCTTCACAATGTGTGATTAGAGCCAATAAATGACTTAAGTCTGCAACAATTTCCACAGAGGACCATTTGTTTAGTCTGTCAGCAATATTTAGAGAGTTCATCCACACAGGCTCCTCAGTAGGAAGACAGCTAGACGTGGGATTTCCTCATCAAAGCTGGCTGTGTGTTCTGCCTTATTCTGGAAATGCCACATATTTTTGTCACTCCACTTCAATCAGGAGGTGAATTCTTTCTGGTATTCAACAATGAAGGATATACCTATCTGAATAGAGAACAGACACCTTCTTTATGGGCATGTCTTCAATGCATAGCCAACTATTGCACTGCTCTTACAGTACAAAGTACACAAAAGTGTTACATCACCAACCAGATCCTCTATTTATCAGCGGACTGAGCGCTCCATCAGTGTACGAAGAACAGCCTTGCTATGGATGGGAGTGAAAGTGCAGCTGGATGTTCTAAGATTAGCGTATAGAATTAAACAGGATTTTATCTGTGTCAGTGTGAGCTACGAGTGTGCACAAACACACACACACCCTCATGGCACCACGTGTCTCTGAGCAAGTCTAAAATAAGCACCAGCGGAGCCACCAGGAGCCCACAGCACACAATATGTGCTGCATGTTGGAATGCATGAACGTGCACTTCATCACAGAAACACTCACAGCTAGGTTTAACTCTGAATATATATTGGAATCCATTCAAGTGGAAGACTTCAGCCGGTTCCCCTCTTGACCCGAGTGCCGACAATATCCAATAGGACAGTTAGCAATAAGGCCAGTGAGCAGGACAAACGGAAGGAAATTGAACAAGCTTTGACCTTTTTGAGATCTGTAACCTTGTGGTGTTCCACCCCAGGCAGCTGACAGTGGTATGATTACATCTGTAAAGCCTTATCTGTTGTATCTGTTCCACCAGTGATCCTGCTCAACTGTATGTATGTGTTAGCACGCCTTCTAGTATTTCTATCCTGCTGCGTTAAAAACACTCAGATGGAAAAACAAATTGTGAAAAAAACTGTCCTGTCATGACATAACAGATGTCATGATTAAATACCCAATTAAGATTTCAGATACATATCTAGTTGTGGTTTTAGAATTCAAATAATGTGTAGTGGTCTTTTCAAATGTTTGTTCTTAGGGTAGTTAGGGTAAGAGTTTGCATTAAGTATGAAGTGAATACATTTAGGTTTAAACTGCAATAATGTGGTGTCCTTAACTTCTTGGGAAAACTGTTCAACCAATAGTTGCAGTAGACAATTACAGTGTGGTCATTATCTGTCCTAAAAATGGGAAACCACTGCTGATGTTTCAGATCGTTCTTCCTACTTTTTCAGGTGGGGGAGTTTGTAACTGCAGTTTCTATAGAATCCTTAATTCCTGAAACCCCACAGTTCTGGCAAACTAAAAGTCAACAAAACAACATGCAAAGAAGATTGGCGCAATCAAAATGATGAGAAGATTTAAAAAAAAAAAGAGGAATAGAAAAGTTCCAAAAACATTTCTTATCGACATTGACTAATGATTTCCTTTGAGTGAATCACAGAGCCTCCGCAGACAGCTTGCCATCTCCCATGTGGGCTGGTATCTAATGTGTGCAGTCCTTAGAACCAGACGGCTACAACACACAATGGATTTTTTACACAGACTTGCAGACACACACAAATACACAGCTCTCAGGCTCGCTGAAGCCTATTTGTTTGGAGCACATTTGCCAATGTTCAATTAAAAATCCCTCTGATAAAAGATTCAAATGGCTGCCATTGTGATTAATGAGCTCCTGTATAAGTGAAGAGGCGTTTACTGCACAGCAGATGAAGACAGATGAGAAAGACCATCCCCTTAGGCTGGATCTAGCATTCGTGCCTCAGTGGCAATAATGCAAATGCATGCACAAGACAGGTGCATGCACACAGCCATCTTTACCTCCATGTATCTTGTGTGCTACTGTATACGCAGCAGGAATTTCATTCTGTCATTAAGAGCAGGACAGTGTTAGAAATCAATTTATTTGCAGCTTAGTTTAAGGTGACTGTGTAGTGTGGTTTTAGTTCATAGCCAGATTCAGACTGATCAAGTAGTAACATCCTCTGAAAATATTCGATGATTATTCAAGGAGCCTGTGAAGGACCAGGGTACTCAAAAATCAGGAATGCAGGTTGAGGTGCAAAAATAAGGATTTTTTTTACCGAATTGATGTACAATTCTAGGATGGGTAATAAAATTAATTAGGTTTAAACAAAAAGGTGTAGATGAAAAAAGACACAATCTAGCATTTAAGGGATAAACAAAGGATCACAAAAATGGGTGACATCTTGTGTGCTCTTCTGCCCAAGAGCAACTCACATACCCCCTTCTCATCTCCACACTGCAGGAACTTATAGCCCTACTGGCCAGTCCATTGTCGCATGCAGGGGGAAGAATTTCTAAAAAAAGGGGTGGCTTAAATGACGTGGCCTCTTTAAACACCCCTCAGGGTTTGAGAGGAATGGCGTAGTCCAATTAGCTGACACATCTATAAAGGCAGGTGTTTTCCATCAGCTCAGCCTTTTGCCAGGAGCAAGGTGAGCTGTAAAACACTGACAATTGGATTACACACAACACAATTAAGATCATTGATTAATAATCATTTAGCAAGCAATGATACCAACATTTTTGGGGGTTTTAAGCTATAACATATGAGGATGTGCTGAGTTTGTATATAATTAAAAAGGGAATTTAAGAGAGTTTTAGGATGTTTGATGATTTTGGGCTTTGGGCTTTGGAAACATCCATACACCTTTTTTATTTCTTGAAATTCTACTGAATAAAGCCAAATAAATAAACACATTTACCAATAATACAAAATAATCATTACATGCCGCCCTACACATTTCTGTCTGAAAAGATATGGTTAACATGATTAACATTGCCAATGTCGACATTAGCATTGTTACTGTGTCATGTTAGCATTTAGTTTACAGCAACACATTCCTTCGTATAGTCCCACTCATGTTAATATTGGATCTGTCTTTCACTAAATCACTGATGATACATTTGACAGGAACATAATACACAATTATTCACAAAAAAAACAAAACATAATAATAATATATAATAAAATAATAACTATGTACCTGCACAAATTGCTATTAGCTTTAAAGTGGATCTATCATGCTATATTTTAAACATATATTGTAGGGCCATACCTATACAAAACATGTCTGTGAAGTTTTTTGCTTAAAATACCAAACAGTTCACCCATTGTAGCCATGCCTCATACTGCTCATACCCCTCTTTTGCAGCCCTGTTAGAATAATGCGGATCTTGGATCCTTAGCTTGAAAAAAAGAAAGAAGAGGAGGCGGAGCTAATGCCTGATCAGAATTCTACCGAGATAACAAGTTAAATTCTGCGTATAAAACGCCATCCTGTTTAAACCACGTTCAAGGATTATTCTGAAACATATGGGAGCTCAAAGCTTTTTCTCTTGTGTGTATCACAAGCGAGTTCATTGTTATGCCTGCTTTTAAACACATGTCCTCAGTACAGGGTAGCTCTGAGTGTAGCGAGGCCTGCTAATGTAAACAAAAGACGAGATTACGTCCAAAACACTCAGGCATTTGTTCTGATAGCAACTTTCTGTGGTCTGCTGCCGATTTGACGTCACAGCTGATGCAGGAACTGCCTATCCACTCGTCTGTTAACCCGTTATTAAAAAGATTTTTGGACGAGGAACCAAGAGAGAGGGTTTATTTTCTGAGCGCGGAATCCCCGATCGCACCGGGACTACATACCTGTATAGAAAGACATACAATAGGCAGTTTTGCATGCCAATAGTCCCTTTAATTTACAAACTTACCACACCTTTTTTTTTTAAATTATCACCCAAAACACATCAAAAATATGACCATTTGTTTATATATGGCCTTTTACTCATGCACCCAATAAGCTATGGAATTTGCAAAAGTAATCAGCCAAGGCTCAG